AACTCATGGGGAACATCATGGGGTAACCAAGGATACATCTGGATGAGCCGAAACAAGAAAAATCAATGTGGTATTGCTACCATGGCCAGCTATCCACTTGTTTAACTCAACGATTATATTAAGAAAATAATACGAACTGTATATTTAATCCTACATTTTTTTCATCTAGCTGATACATATAACATCTTTAAAATAAATCGAATTTTCTCTACAAAAAATCTTGTACTATCGAATTGATATTATTGAAATAATCTTGAGGAAATGGATGTAGATAAAGACACAACGCCCACACTTTCAAGATGATTTTAATGGTGATACTTATCAAGATCTAGCTGTTATATATCAACACACTAATACTATAGAATGTTGTACGCGTGAAATTCTCAAGAAAAGTAACTTCAGTCTCTAACGTAGCACAAATCAATCAGTAAAACTTCTGTTTCTAAGAAAAGTATTACATATAGTTTGATCTCCTCTTAAATCGTTGTAATTACAAGACTTTCTTCATTTTTCTTTTCACAAAACATTGAGGAGAAAGGACATCATGTATTATTAAGCTACAATATAATCATTAAAGTCTCATTTACGTCTCTAAATCAAGATATCCGTGTGAATTTGCTATAATTATCAGTTACTTATTAGCAAGCAAGGAAGAGAACAGCTAATTATTGGCGTAATTTGTAGAATTAAGAAATATTCACAAATGACTTAGAAACGCTTGTTAATGCAGCTGCTTGGCAGTTAAATTGTAGTATTCATGACGTACTTCAATATACAGATAACAAGTATTATCGTAACAATAGACCTTTTACGCTCAAAAGAATGCGTAATGTCATGAATTAGTGATAACATAATAAAAATTCTTTAAGATAAGTCGATTTCTCGGAATATTTTCCTTTAATCATCACGTCGTCATGCTCTTTTTCATTTGACTTTTCGTTATATATTTGAATGAATACTGAAACAGTCATAATTGAAAAACGGATTAATTACCATTTTTTTGCGTTGATTTCACGCCTTTTTTGTTATTTATAACACAGGATTGTTGAAGGTGTATAATATTTTAATATGCACTTTCTTTGTTTATCTGTGATGGAAAACCTGTCATAGACATTATTGAATTTTATTTCTTTAATACCTCTGATTCGATTATGATCTTCCCTGAACATTTTTCATTTAGGATTAATCGATAATTCTGTTCGCATTTGAAAGAAAAACTTCTTTTTTAAGTTTAAAAACATTAATAAAAAATAATCTATTGGATGAACATTCTTTCAAAATTTAATAATTTTTCTGATTCTCACTAGCTATCAAATATTTATTCATATCTTTTTTTTATATATAAACTGGAACTGCTGAATTCAAGAATGACGTTCATTTCCGACGAGAATAGCAACGCATAACCCGTTCCCTATTTTTTAATTGCTTTTTTCATAATTAAAAAATGATTCGAGGGTAAAGAAGATACCAAGAACTTTAGACTTTGTTATCTTATTTTCTATTAATTCATAAATAAAAGCCTTGTAATAATAAGTAAATTATGTTGAATAAATCTATTCATTCATCATTGAATGTCATATATGACAGCTGATGACGATTAAATGGATTTATTCATTATTAAGTGTCATATATGACAGTCAATGGCTCTTTCAATACTAATACCATATGTAAATCAAAGTAAAAAGAACGCCAAGGTTCAATTGATAAATATACATTTGAATATAACTGTCAGAGATAAGAATGATTTTTTTCTAAAAATCGATTAGAATTTGCAATTGCCTTGATATTTTGGGGAACTTCAATCTTAAATAACCACAGCAATTCTAAATGTATTCGTTCTTGATGAGTATATGATACCTGATTTTATGCTTTAAATTTGAAATCGCTTTACTATTACGCGTTTCATATAAAGTCTATTTGAATGCGAATTTCATTAAGATGTAATCTTTCCAAAGTGAGGATATTTAATTCAAAACATGATTTTTCACTTCTTTTTTATAAATAATTTTATTATTTTTTAATAAAAAGTCTAATGAAGTTTAGACAAATAAAATTGCGTCTGATATAGAAGAAAGAAACGCTTGGAAATATGATTGCGCCCCGACACATCAAATGTTTTAAAGAACTTATTATGACGCACATCATTTTTTTTTCTAACTGCGTTTTGGTGCGTCGTAAAATCATTTTTAATCACCTCTGGACGCGTTTCAAAGCATCGATTTTGCGTTCTATGATTACATGGATGGAACATTTAATAATAGAATATAATTTTGCATAGAATATTAAATTTTTTTTTCTAAATTGCTGCAAGCAAAAGTTTTTCTTTCGTATAAAATATGGTTTACTTTAAGCTTATTAGATACCATATATTTTTCTATATCATAAGAGACATTAACGCATTTTAAACAGTACCTATTTAAAATCATGATGAATAATATTGCATTTGTACTCAATTGGATTACACTTATTATTAGTATATTTGCATGTTTGATTTCATCTACTATCTTTATTCATATAATCTATTATCTCTTTCATAATCGTATGAAACCAGAAGATAGAATAACTATTATCCATTGTGCAAACATTTATCCACTTATCTTCTGCTTTACGGGAATATTAGTTGCATTTAGTATTCAATCAGTTCTAGGAGATTTGTATGGAAAGGAGTCAAGTGCATCATCATGGTGTATTTCTACGGCATTTATGTTTCCTGTTCTTTGCACTACATTATATTGGAGTTTTGTCAATCAGGTAATCATGAACTAAAATATATTATCAATTTAAAAACCATATCTCTTTAGGCTATCTTTCGTCTTTGCCGAATTGTATATGCAACTCATAGGTGGCTTCAACATTTTTGGTTGTATATTATTATACCTCCTATTGAATTTATTTTAAGTTGTGCACTATTGTCTCCACTCCTTTTCTGGCATCACATTGTTTATTTACCACAAGAATACTACTGTTATGTACCATACACAAATATTCTTGGTATTCTTTGGGTGATATTAAATGCTTATGGAAATCCTCTTTTAATATTGTTGTTTATCTATTTACGCATTACAATATTTATTAGTCGGCAATCCATTAACCAAACACTTGTAGTTAAAAAACGACAAGAACGAGATTTACTTGTGATACGACGTATTTTTATAGCTGTCGGCCTACTATTAACTCTTGGGATGCCAGCTGTAATTCTCTTATTAATGTACCTAATCACAGGTGAAGAGAGTCCTCTTTTTTTTTCGTATTGAATGGCTTTCGGTTAGTCTGTCGATGGTAGGATTAAGTGTCGTGTTAGTTTTTTTCACCCCACAATTAAAAAGTATTATTTTGAAAAAATATCAACGCAATCAAGTAACACCTCCGAATGGTGCATTAGCAGGCTCAGTTCAAATAAGATTTAATACAACCACACGTTAAATAACTATATAACAATGTAAACTATGTATTTTTGTTGTGTCGTATATTTTAATGTTGTATCATATCTGTGTTGTGGAAAAAATAAATCTCTTCTTATTTTAAGTATGTTTACAAGCAAAAGCTCATTATATCAGAAACAAATCGAAATTAAGAGTATAGGTATATGTGAGAAAGAATGTTTCAGATATCTATACACACACACAGACACACCCTAAGTAATTAAAGAGAAAATCATAGATAAGCAAAAAATAAGCGACAGAAGAGTTGACGATAATTAGTATTGTTATATGATGTAAAAGTAATTAGCAGTAAAATAATAGTATGGCGATGACACTATCCCTGCCATTTTCACCTATGGTAATGATTTCCATTTTTCCATCGCCATTAATATCCAGTGGTTTTATCTCCATTGGAAGAAATCTTTCTGGAAAGATTGTTTCATTCGTAAATGTTCCATTTCCTATGTTGAAATAAACACCGATTTCGCCAGGAGAGTAATTTGTCATGATAACATCTGGTATTTTATCATTATTAATATCACTTATTGCTCGAACATTAGCTCCATATAAATTTGTAGAGATAACTCGATGATAGAATGTTTCATCGCCAGTATTATAAAGAATAGCAATGGCACGGGTCAAAAAATCGGTAGTGATAACATCGACTTTTTTTATCATTGTTCATATCACCTGTCGAAATTTTCACCGCTGTGTAACCAGTTGAAAATTTTTTTCTTCAGTCAACTGACCATCAGCAACATTTAAAAAAATCTTCAGATGAGTTCCTTGTGAATCTAAGATAATAATATCATCGTTGTTGTTGCCATTTATGTCGCCAATTGCCATAGACATTAGACGCATGAAGATAGAATATCCATAATTCTTCAGAACAAAAACCTTTGAACATGATTCTAATAAAAGATAACATTGATTATCACGAAGAACTCATGATTATTGCTTTGCTCCCTCACAATTTCTTTATCTATTTTTTTTTATTCAAATTCGGCTAAAAATATTCTCTAACATAAAATAGAGAGCTATTGAAAATGGACATTTAAAATAATTCAGATAACACAAAACATTATTGCTTTTCTTTTCGAAAAAAATGATACCTGTTGTCGATTTTATTGTTGTTGTGGTTATAGTAGTTGAACTTGTTGTTTTCGCTTTTTTCATGCTAGTAAAAGTTAATATGACAGCAATAATTAAAATTAATCTTTTAATTCCAATAGATAGACATCTGAAATAATTGAATTATTGTGCTAATGAATAATTAAAGTATAGAAGATACATACGATCTTGTTTGTAAAACAGTCGATTCTTCATCATTGTTTTCATTAGCTGATTGAAACTAAAAATCAAAAAGAATTAAAAGTTTTATTTGGAATTATTTAAAGAATATACATTATTGTCGTTGCTCATATTGGAATCAATCTTTTGTCAAAATGTAATGATTTATTCGTAGATGATTATATTTAAATATATTTAAAAAAAACAAATGAATGAGAAGAACTTCTCTATTTATGAGTATCCACTAATGTGTTTCATCAGTTGTTCAACTTTTTACTTCTTGGTTGTTGATCATTGTATGAAAGAGGAAGTTTATTTTACTGAATATCATAGAACGAGTAACGAGATAAATTGTCATCTGTTCAATAATTAATAGAGCGACACGTATGATCTAGTTACGCTGATAATAGACGATAGAGTATTATGGAGTAGAAATTCTAGATATTGATAGTTTTTATTCAACACACACTATGCCTACACGACAAAGAATTGCCCATCAAAATAATTATAACACCATCTTGAGATAAAGATATAGATATTTCGAGTTTTATTAAAGGTAAATATTTAATTTTATATTGTAGATTTGTTTTTCTCATTTATTAGTTTTTATCAGTATTTTATCTTTAATTAAGGGACAGATCGTTGACACTGTTAGTTATCATCACAAAATATTTCAAATAACTTGAATTATCAATCATAATATGAAAAAATGTTGATATAATCTAAATATTGTCTTCGTCTTATTATTTTAGAAAGCAAAAATTACATTTATAAAACAATGCAAAGAGTATATTATCTTGATCTATGTTACAAAAGTTAATAGCAACAATTATATTTTACGATGATGTGTAGAAAAAGTACTTTTTTCTATAACGTTAATATATATGTATACATATTTGGAAGATCATGAGGAAACAAGAAAACTTGATCCTATACAAATAACTCGAGAATCTTGATTATATGTGAATGACTCAGAAATATATGTATGGCTTAAGATCATGCCATTCTGTCGCTTAGTTTCAGTGCATGTTGTAATGAATTAAATAAATAAATATTTGTAATTCAGACGGTCTCTTTAAGGTTAGGATACGATGTTGATGTTTTTGTAATATAATGAGATTTACGTTGTCGACAAATAATACCATGTATATAACACATGAAGAAAATGATAAAATCGTAGAAAGCATGCGAACAAATAGCGGCAGGCAATCCATAATTCATCATAATCCAAAATTCAAAGAATCCAATACACCATGAATTATACCACCCGAAAAGTCCAAGATACAAATGTTCATCTCGAAATTTTCCGTTTACAATTAATGCAGCTGATCCAATTGACCAATGAACTTGATCGTATAATAACCATTTTAATTTATTAAAAAATATTATGTTTATAAACGGTGCTTCTATATTTAAATAAAAGAATCGACACCATCCGAATAAACAGAAATTTGCTATCTTAGTTAGTACAATATTTGAATAGAAGAATAGCCATCGATAGTTTATTTCTTCTATTATTCCAATTGATAAACTAACAATAAAACATTGAAATAACGATGATTCATCGCTGGCAAATGTGGCATACAAAATATTTTTATTTTTCAACGTATTTTGATTGACTAAGATTAAACTTAGTAGAGTTGTAATAAAACTCCAAAGATATATCGGCCATGAACTTAAAAAACCATTAAAAATGCCTTCATAGTGCCAATAATAGAATAGTGGAAGCTCAATAGCTGTTGGAGATATTAGTTGAATTATAAAAAATATAAATAACATTATTCCAATATAAATCATAAAAGTTATACTGGGAAGATATTTTAAAGTATCCATATTGTTTTCGTAATAATAAATCTAGTATATATATAAAAGAAAAAGATTTATGTGCCAATCACATAGTCACGAAATATATACGTATTACAAAATGAAATTAATAGGATTGAAAAAAGAAAGAACTTTTTTGATCAGGTAATGTTTCATACTGAAATTGTTGCGTAATTTCACGAGCATGTATCTGCAAAAAACATACCAGCACTTAATCGTGTGCTGCACTCGCGAATCATAAACGAAAAATTCTATTTTTAACGAAGAGATAAAGATGTTGGCCGATACCTGTTGTCCTCTATCATTTACTCATTCACAAAAGGTATTGTTCGTCCGTTGCAGATCGATTTGTTTCTTTCGTGTTTTAGACGGAAAAGAGAAAGAATATATGAATCTTTACAAAAACATGTTTGGTTCCATCGATAACTCATTTTTCAGTTTGAAAAAGATATTTCGTGCTATTCTTGTCTTACGAGGGAAGGTCCCCAAGTGTGAATCTCAGTTTTTAACGGG